GATAAAAGCCTAAGTGTTCAGACCATACCAGGATAGCACATCATAACCATCTCTACTCGTCCTAATGAAACACAAAGACTTCCCTGGATTTTCTTTTCCTCATTTCCTGAATTTTAATCTGTGTGTTTTTGAAGTCTTTGAGTTAACTGAGAAGGCTTTTGGTTCTGTGAACTAAGCACATTCCTTCAAAACCACAGGCATTCACTTCTCACTGGGCAATGACAATCACAACACTGGCATGCAGGTAAGAGAACTCAATTTACTTTTCCCATCACACCTCCAGTTACCTCAGGGAACCCCACTCTAACAGTGAAGGAGTAATTTCTGCTATCTTGACCATGTCCAAGTATTCTACAGCCACCTACCCTTTCCTTGCTGCCCCTTCGACAGCTCTTGTCACTGACTCAGAATGGAGTTCTGCCTTCCAGAGGTGGAGATTCAAGGAAAAGCAGAAACTGCACCACTGACCACAACCCCTTCTCTCAGAAATGTCTTCAGGAGGACCCTCTCTGTAGCCTAACGAGTGCATAAAAAGACAGATGTCCTGAGAGCATCCTAAATTCTTTGAAAATTATTAGGATTTTATCCTCTGCTTGACACATTAATCACTCTTGGGACTAAGTATTTAATAAAACTGAGTCTGTACTATCAACAAACAGCAATGAATAATAAGGTATCACTGCTGTCAGATTGATCTGGGCTAAAAGCAGAGAATACCAGAAAGATCTTTACCTGTGCTTTATTCACCATGCAAAGACGTGATGGTGGAGCTTAACAAACAAACAAAAAAACAAACAAACAAACAAAAGTGATGGATAACCATTGCAGAGAATGGAAATTCCACAACACTTAATAGCACGCATGTGGAGCTTGGGACAGAGACCAACAGGTAGTGGTTCAAACATAACAGTAATACTGCATGGTTTAAAATCAGGGAAGAAGTTAGAAGTTGTACCAAGGTTGTCGCCTTTCATCATCCTATTCATTCTGCAGGCTAAGCAAATACCCACCATGTGGAATGTCTGGTTGGTTTTTATTTAAGCTTCTTATTTAGAGTCAAGAAGACCTCATGGAGGGCCTTGCATTTAAAGCCCCAGCCTTGTCTCCATTTTGGAGACTGGGTGACTATGGCTGGCCTATCGAAGTTGGGTGTTCTTGTTTTGGTTGAGGTCATGTGGAATTTTTGTTTTTTGGGGGGTTTTTATTTAAGCCTTTTGTTTAGAGTCAAGAGGGCCCTTGTATTTAAAAGTCGGTTGAACCTCAGGCCTGCGGCCCTGGGGGCTCATGTTATTGTATTTTGGAGGAACATTCTTCTAAATTGTGTAGCACTCTTCTGTCAATTTGTTGTACTGTGGTAATCTGGGTTTGCTGTGATGCTGAACCTTGAGCCATTGTGGGGGTCAAGTGCCCTAAGAGCTGCTCATGTTGGATGGTGTTTGGTGGAGCTTCCAATTTAAGACAGATTTAGAAATAGGAGTGGCATCCACTTCCTTAACACACCTCTGGAAACTCTTATTAACTTGAAGATACGATGATAGTTACAGAAAGGCTTCAGGCCTTTTCACAGGGTTGCAATGACTCATGCTCAACTCCATGCAATCAACAGCAATAACACAAACACTACAAGCAGCTGGACTGTGTATAGAAAAATGTGGCCTCAAGATTGGAGGAAAACAAACTACCACCAGGATGACACAGCCCACCTTGCTCAAAGTGAAGGGCACTTTAAAGACTTATTGAAAATCAAAGCCTTGACAACTGATTACACCTCAACACAGAGAAAACAAAACCCTCACATCTCATCAATACCAGCTGGGAGTTCTACTGTCTGGAACATACCATCAGCTCAATGGCTAGATGCCCGCTGACAAGACCATTGTGGGAGGATACGGATTCCTTCAACACCTTCTCCAGTGTAACAAGCACTGGCAAAGGTGTGTGGTGGCTCCACGTCAGCGCATAGGTCTTCAGGGCTTCTCGGTTTTCCACAGCCTTTGTGGGGGAACCAGTTTTGGGTTTACATTCCTGAGGATGGAAGGTTTCTCTGTCAATTATGGAAAAGTCCAAGGTGGAGTTTTCCATTTACCCAGCCCCCTAAGATTTCAATAGCTTTAGCTGTGACCAATTCCATACTCACCCCCTTCCTCATCCTTGAGCCATCATCGTAGACAAGGTTATTTTTGATATCTGTTACAGAAACCCTGATATTGAATGACCACATACACTACCTTATTTACCAGCTTGTCCTCCTCCATCCCTGCTTCCATAAGATGTGGTGGTACCCTGAATGTCAATTCTAGATATTCTGGACCAATCTGGTGCCCTATCCTCATATCCATGTCCCTCTGGCAGTGCACAGCCTCATCCTATCTTCTGAGAACACATACTATGAGCAGCTTTCTGTAACATTCTCAGCGCTGTGAGCTGGCCATCCAGATGACGAGCCTTGCCATGACAGATACATGGCTTGCTGCCCACTGTACCATGCTGACATATTCCCAGAGATGTCACTGCAGTCACTGCCACTATCAAGACAAGTGCAGCATCAGTTTATGGACTGATGCCCACAGTGGCTTCAAGTTTTCATTCATTACCAGCCTCCCACCGTGGTATCTGGTGGAGATCTGGCCAACGTATAATGTGCTTTATGGATGCTGAACCACCACAAGCACTGGCGAGGCCTGTGCTGAGCCGGGAACACTAGGTGAATCTGCTATAAGCCAAGCATGATTTGTTCATTAATATGTTGGGGAGGGGATAGAGGAAGGAGGGTTTCTGAGGCCTGTGTGGACATGGCTGGCCTTGGGAAGGTGTTGTGAGGTCAGTATGGATTATGCTGGACAAGAGAGACAGTTACTCTTTTCAGTCTTGCAGATGTCACGCTCTGAACTTTGCCTTCTGTTGACTGTCCTAGCCTGCTGGTCATATTGTCTTCATCATCAATTATAAACTGGCTTATTTCTCCATGTACATCTGTAATATTTTTTCATCATGTTTCAAGTACAAAGAAAGGGTGGGAGAAGTAAGAAATAATGTTTTACTTGCACAAATCTGCTGAAAAAGACCTCTGTAAAGTGTCAAAAAAGCAAAGCTGTCATTTTGAAGACTAAGGTGCACCTGACCCAAGCTGTGCTATTTTCAATCGCCTCACAAGCATGCAAAAAATTGGATAATAAATAAGGAAGACTGAAAAAGAAGTGACACCTTTGAATTACACTATTAGCAAAGAATACTGAATACACCACAGACTAACAAAAAAATATGTTATCTGTGTTTTACTGATTATGCAAAGGCAGGTGACTGTGTTGATCACAAGAAACTATGGCTAACATTGAGAATGGGAATCCCAGAGCACTGGATTGTGCTCAGGCCAAACCTATACTTAGACCAAAAAGCTGTTATCTGAATGGAACAAGGAAACATTATAGGGTTTAAAAAGAGGAATGGTGTGTGTCAGGGATGCATCCTCTGTCCATACCTATTCAATTTGTATTCTGGGCAAATAATTCGTAAAGCCAGATTCTATGAAGGAATGTGGAATAAGGATCAGAAAAGACTCATCAACAACCTGCATTATGCATATGACACAACCTTGCTTGCATAAAGTGAGAAGGACTTGAAGTACTTGCTGCAAAAGATCAAAGAATACAGCCATCTATATGGATTGCACTTCAGTGTCAAGAGACCAAAACTTCTTACCACTGGACTAATGGGCAACATCATGATAGAAGGAGAAAACTCTGAAATTGTCAATGATTTCATCCTACTTGGACCCACAATCAACACCCTTGTTACCAGCAGTCAGGAGATAAAGAAATATATTGCTTTGGGCAAGTCCACTGTCAGGAATCTCCAAAATAGTAAAGAGCAATGATGTCAGTTTGAAGACTAAGGTGCGCCTGATTCAGACTGAAAGCTGGACAATGAATAAATAAGGATGACAGAAGCAGAATTGATGCCTTTGGTGTTGCAGAAGAGTATTTAATATCCCATCGATTGCCAAAAGAACAAAAAAGTATGTCTTGGAAAGAGTGCAGCCAAGCGCTCCCTGGAAAAAGATATCATGTTTGGAAGGATGGAGGGTCAGCGAATGAGATGACTGACACAGTGACTGTGGCAATGGCTTCAAGTGATTAGAGACAATGAGGATGACACTGGATAGGACTGGATTCAGGTCTACTGTTCACAGGGTTACTATGAGTCATACTTGACTTGACAGCACCTAACAATAACAGAAGAAGGAACAAGTTTGGATTAGAAGTAGAGTCAGAGTGTTCAATAGAAGCAAGAACAGTGAAATGTCATTTAATGAAATTTGGGCATGTTATCTGGGGATATCAGTCCCTGAAGGACATCCCTGGATAGGATATTGTCCATGAAATAGAGGAAGACCCTCAAAGAAATGGACTGACCATGACTTCAATATGGTTTCAAACAGCAATGATTTTGTAGATGGTTCAGGACTGGTCAGTCAGTGTCTCATTCTCCTGTACACAAGGTTGCTATGAGTTAGAAGTAGTTTGCCTGTAACGACAAACAATTCTGTGGTTACCACATTCTGGGGAGGGTGCTTTTAAAATTAAAAATAAAAAAAATGAATTTTCTAAAAAGATTATGAACAATAAATCACATTATAAATTTTATTTTTCAATTTAGTTGATAAGGAAGAAATGAATAAAGATGTCAAAAGAAGTATCAAAAACAAGAATAGTCACTTACATAGCATATATACAGACTATATGAACAGTATAGATTCCTTTCCAGTTTATTCAATCCTACTTACACATTAAAAATGAAAAATACATTTTAATTTGTCAAAAGTTGACAGCACCAGGAAAGTAATTTTACTTTTAGTGAGACTATGGCCTCAGTATCCTGGTACAAGAAACTTCATGTAATCTAGATGTCTTTATTATAACCAGTTAAAAAATCTGACAAGTAACTGCTGTACATCATCAAGTTACCACTTAATCAAAGTGATTAAAACCTTACACCTGGTACTATTTGATGTTGCGGACAACTCTTCTGCAGTGATTCGTTTTCATTTCCTCCAAAGCCTGTTCCAGCTGCTGAACTAAGTGCAGCAAGGTGGCTGGGTCTGTCTGCAGAACCTGGGTGGTGTTATCTCCACCCTGATGAAGATGCAGCTTTATCACCACTGCAGGCTTGATCTGCTGCCTGAGACTTCTGCTTGCAAGCTGGATTTTAAATGGAAAAAGAGCAAAATAATGATTTAATAACTATGCTGAATACATAAAATACTTAAAATTACTTTAAACCATACGCCCCCCCCAAAAGTTCAGATCAATCACAGACTTTAGAATAGTAAGTATACATAAAAAATACTTTTTTTACCTATAGAATGTAAAATAATGATAACATATATGCAATCTTATACTATGGAAATATTTATTAAACATGATAGCAAAGGCACAAACTAAAAGGAAAAAAAATTGATAACTTTATCTAGATTAAAATGAATAAATTTTCTTGAAAGATAAAAAGATGGAGAATAAAAGCTACAAACTAGGAGACAATATTTTGCAACACTTATGAAACCAACAAGAGGAATATCTATAATTTATGAAAAATATAAGGAACAAAACTAATGAAACATACAGAAAAATGTGCCATGTATCTAAATAAACAATTCACCAAGAAAGGAGCAAAAACACAGAAACACAGGAATGTATGTTCAACTTTATTAGAAATCAAGAAAATCATAAAATCATAATAAAGACTAGCAAAAAATTAAAAATTCCAAGTAACAATAATGGAAACTCTCACTCATTTCTGGTACTAAGAGAATACTTTTGAAAACAAAGTGCATTACCTTAAAGAAACATACATCCTACTGGTTTATTGTGTGATTTAATTCTTCAGTATCTCTGTTGAGTTTTTTTCTGGTAGTTCTATCTTTTCTTGAGAGGGGTGTATTGA